CGCAATTGTCTAACGACGGTCACTTCTGCCCGGTGTCGGGCCGGGCCCAGGGACTATCACATATAGTTCCAGCTCGAAAAACATTGGCGCAGAAAGATGGGGTCCGGGGCTCTGTTCGTGTTTGTGTTGCGATGCTGTATTTTTTCGCAACGTCGGACCTCAGACGAGGAGGAACATGTATCGATGCCGCTACCCACGTCTCGTCTCCACGGCGGGCTTCGCCTCGGGTTCTTGGCCAGAGCGCACCCCAGGCAAGGTCCAGGGAGTTGCGGCATCGGTACCGCGGAGCGCGTGGGGCGACAGCGAGTGCGGCGGCGACGGCGGCGGCGGCGGCGGCTCCTCCTCCTCCTCCTCCTCCTCCTCCTCCTCCTCCTCCTCCTCCTCCTCCTCCTCCTGTTTCGAGCGCCATTTTGTGGGCTCTGCTGGTGGCGGAAGTGGCAAAGGGTTTCGCTGCCCCTCGGGAGGCCGAAAAAGAACCCAAGTGCCACCCGACAGGAGCCCACTCTCCCTCTGTCGATGCTATTGCGTTGGCTGAGGTCAAGGCCGGCGGTCGGACGGACCTTCACGGGTACGTCGTCTCCTCCCCCTCCTCCTCCTCCTCCTCCTCCTCCTCCTCCTCCTCTTCCTCCTCCTCCTCGTCCTCCTCCTCCTCCTCCTCCTCGTCCTCCTCCTCCTCCCCCTCCCCGAATCCAAAACATTGGAAATACTCTGCATGCTGAACATTTGCACACTAACTGAGCTTGCAGTAGATGGCCGTGCTTTCTGAACCCGAGGGTTTCTTGTCTTGTCTTGTATTGTCTTGCCTCCACGTCCTCGCTCTGTTCTGGGAGGAGTGAGGAGGATGAGGAGACAGGGGGAGGAGGAAAGGGAGGGTGAGGGAGGGGAGGAGGAGAGGAGGAGGTGGAAAAGGAGGAGGACGAGAAGGAACGGGAGGAGAAGTTACGCAGACCTCCTGAGGGCGAGCGACGCGCCGTGGGAGCAGTTCATTCAGGCAGGGCCTTCGGGCGACCTGGACTTGTGGAGCGTTTGTGTGTTTGAACGAGGAGGGGAGTCTGTAGGAGGGGGGAAGGGGAGGGAGTCAGTGGGAGAGGGTAGGAGGTGGAGGAGGAAGGGGGAAATGTGGAGGCATAGGACGACGAGTTGGAGGATGATTGAGAGGAGGAGGAGGAGGAGGAGGAGGAGGAGGAGGAGGAGGAGGAGGAGGAAGCAGAGGACATGGAAAGTGGTGCTCGTGTCGGCGGTTGTGAACGGACCAAGCGCCCTGGTCTCTTACAAGTGCTCCATCTGAAGGCTCCAGTTCGCCCCTTGCTGTATGCCGTTGCGCGATACATTATTCCTTTCCCCCGTGGCATTGGGCATTGGGTAGAATCCTGACAATGATGTATTCATCCACGAGGTTCGTACTTGCTCCGGTTCGCAGTATCATCAGAAGCAGGTTGGAGTTTTGCTTTAGTTGTGCACGTGCAAGGTTTTGTTCAATCGGAGTCGAGTGCGACGTGGCTAATCGCAATCTTACCGATGCCCTTGTAATAGGCAGCATTCGCAGCAACAGACATATATCGAAGTGCTCACAGTTTACCATCGGCTCAGTCTTGGGCCCACCAAGCTCCAGTCCAGCACAAGTTCGAGACCATATAGGCTCAGATTGTTGCACCCCTGGACGCCTATGCATCCTGCAAAAGCCGAGCCTCGGACGATGCAAATGGTATGGAAGTTCAGTTCAGCGTGATGGTCATGGCAATCCTGTCGTTGAGCACATTGTGCATCATGCACTGTTTTAGCTCGGGGGTGAGACGGGTCAAAAAGGGCAAAGGACAAGGGAGGAGGTAGAGGGTTTCGGAGCAGGCAGAGGGAGAGGAAGATTATGAGAACGGGGATGAAGAGGACGAGGACGACGATCATGGCGACGAGGAGGATTTATAGCAGAGTAGACCCAGGGTTCATCAACGACGCAATAAATAGTCTCCCCTTCTCCAAGCCGCATCTGCTTCAATCAGGTAAGCACCTCTGTGAATTGGAACCGTCCCATGTGCCTGACATTCAAGCGAGTGCCGCGTTCCGAAGAGGACCAACCTTACATGTGCTGGGTCGGCCAATGTGTACCATCAATGGGAGTGTCGAGCGAGTGCCACACTCAACAGGAACCGCTGACCATCCGCGCAATCGTTGCGCATGTGACAATGTTCGGTCATATGTGATGAAGGTGTCTCAAGCCAGAGCACCATCTTGAGATCGATGCGCCCTCCGTCCGAGGAGGTGAGGCGTCTGTCTGAAATGTCGTAGCGTTATATATATATACACATATGTACACACATAGCTTAGATGAGGCATCCAGCGAGAGCCCCATGAAAAACAGCTGGCCTCCATAAGTGCACCTGCACATGATTTGCAGTCGAGTGCCTGCGGAGCTACTGCGAGGGCACACTGCAGCACTCACACGGCGAACACCTGAGCGACGCAGACAAGCGTGTCGGGCTGCGCTGACGTTCACGTTCGCGTGCGAGTTGCTCGCGCCAGGCCGCGCGTGATGGCCCCTCTGTTTCCACAAATGCAGCGGGCCGCGGGTGCGGCGGCCAGCGCAAGCCACCGCGCACGGTCTTTCTGCCTTCTTTCGGCGTCACCCCGACACACTTATACTATATGTGCGTCGCCCCCCCCGGGGGCGACGCGCGCACCTAGAAATCTTACAGTATATGTGTCGCGGCGGGCGCTCTCTGGCCACACCGCTCGGGAAACGATATACTACAAGATGGTTATACTATATGTTCGGGTCGGACGCGCGCCTCCAAGGAGGGCATTTAGTATTAGTGTGTCTCTGTGCGTCCCATTCTTGTGCAAGACCGGTCTCATCTCGTCGCTGAAGGTTATGCCCTCCA